AAGAGTCCTCCCAGGAGAGCCTGGAAGGGGACAGGGAGGGCTTCACCTTGCTCCCTCTCCCAGCAGTTCTCGAGCCACCATGAAACAGCCCCCGGCCTCCCCACTGCGGCCGCTCTGTGAGGCCATGATGGACCGGCAGTGCGGTCTACGCAGCCTGACGTGAGTGAGCGCGGCCCCACCCCCCGGGAGGGCACACAAAGCAGGACACCCTGGGCAGACAGGAGTGTGGCTTGGTGGGGAGGGGACAGGCTGAGAGCCTGCAGCCTCTGTCTAATGCAGGCTGGGTGGGCAGGCTCTGCCCTCACGGGGGAGCAGGAGAAGAGGGCACGGGCCTCAGGATTTCAGCATCACATCCGCTGCTAGTCGGAACACCTTTGGCCTGATTTGAGGAGAAAGTGGAGCACAGCTCAGTGATCTGGGGAAGGGGCAAAAAAGACAAGAATTTCTTCTAAATGAAGGCTGTCCAGAGCTGTTGGAAACTGCTAGTGAGCCTCTGGACTCCGGCTCGGGCTCTGAGGTCGGGTTGCCCACAAATTCTGGCCGGCCCCTGGACCCCCAAGGGTTCAAGTCCCTGTATTCCCCTGTGAAATGGAGTTGGCGGATTCTACTGGGAAAGTGGGTGTGAGGTCCATGAGGCTGCACACGTAATGTACTCAGAGTGTAATAACTCTCCCATTACTCTAGCCATCACCAAGTGAGACAAAAATAAAATGATAGGAACTAGCACCAAAGGGGCACCGTAGGGACAGTGATACGTAGGTGGTGACGTGACAGATTAGCTCGGTGTGGGGGGCAGGGTCCCACAACCCGGAAATAAACATAAGGAGCTGGGAGGATGGTTCCATTTGGGCCAGCAATTCCACCGGTAAATTAAATGCAGAGCCATTCAGCGCACCGTTGTGTAGTGGCCAGAAAGCAGACCACACAGCTGCCCATTAGGGACCGGCGGGCCTCCTGACCCACAGCCTGACGGACAGGCACACGGCAATCACCTGAGGACGAGGTCTGTGTCAGCCCAGCCAAGGCTCCGAGGGGTGATGTCGTAAGGGAGAATGGAGCACAGGCTGGCATGGGCTTGGGGTCACAGCTCCCCAGTGACCGCTGTGGGGACGAAGTGTGGGAGGGGCTCAGTAGGGTCTAGGGATGTGGGTGTGGAGCCGACATGTCTCCTGACCAAGCCTCAGGCCACCGGGAAGCAAGCAGCTTCTGTAGCCGGCGCTCCGGGGGTGGCGGAGCTGCTGGTGTGGCTGGGGTTCCGGGGGTGGCCGAGCAGCTCCTGTAGCCGGGGCTCCGGGGGTGGCCGAGCTGCTGGTGTAGCCGGGGCTCCGGGGGTGGCCGAGCTGCTGGTGTAGCCGGGGCTCCGGGGGTGGCCGAGCTGCTGGTGTAGCCGGGGCTCCGGGGGTGGCCGAGCTGCTGGTGTAGCCGGGGCTCCGGGGGTGGCCGAGCTGCTGGTGTAGCCGGGGCTCCGGGGGTGGCCGAGCTGCTGGTGTAGCCGGGGCTCCGGGGGTGGCCGAGCTGCTGGTGTAGCCGGGGCTCCGGGGGTGGCCGAGCTGCTGGTGTAGCCGGGGCTCCGGGGGTGGCCGAGCTGCTGGTGTAGCCGGGGCTCCGGGGGTGGCCGAGCTGCTGGTGTAGCCGGGGCTCCGGGGGTGGCCGAGCTGCTGGTGTAGCCGGGGCTCCGGGGGTGGCCGAGCTGCTGGTGTAGCCGGGGCTCCGGGGGTGGCCGAGCTGCTGGTGTAGCCGGGGCTCCGGGGGTGGCCGAGCTGCTGGTGTAGCCGGGGCTCCGGGGGTGGCCGAGCTGCTGGTGTAGCCGGGGCTCCGGGGGTGGCCGAGCTGCTGGTGTAGCCGGGGCTCCGGGGGTGGCCGAGCTGCTGGTGTAGCCGGGGCTCCGGGGGTGGCCGAGCTGCTGGTGTAGCCGGGGCTCCGGGGGTGGCCGAGCTGCTGGTGTAGCCGGGGCTCCGGGGGTGGCCGAGCAGCTTGCAAAGGGTCTTCTGCTCTTGACCACAGGCTGTCCCGGTGCAAACTGTCTGACACCATGTGCCGAGACCTCTCCGAGGCCCTGAGGGCCGCCCCTGCCCTGACAGAGCTGTGCCTCCTGCAGGTCAGGCTCAGCGAGGCAGGCCTGCGATTGCTGATCGAGGGCCTGGCCTGGCCCCAGTGCCGGGTGCACACACTCAGGTGAGACCCCCCCCTGGGAGGGACTGAGGGATGTCTCCCCGTGCCCCCACCCGCAGCTCTTGAGGTCAGCCGTCCCCCCAGGATGCAAGTGCCCGGCCTCCAGAGAGCGCTGCAGTACGTGATCGGCCTGCTCCAGCAGAGGCCCACCCTGACCACCCTGGATCTCGGTGGCTGCCAGCTCTGTGGCTCCATGCTCACCTCCTTGTGTGCAGTCCTGCAGCACCCGGGATGTGGCCTGCAGACCCTCAGGTGAGGGCAGGGGTGGGGATACAGTCCGTGAGCCCTGGGATAGAAGTGGCTGCCTGGGGGCTGCCCCTGAACCCTGAAGAGGATCCCCTTCCAGGAACCTCCCAAGTGACTGAGTTCAAACCCAGATCTGGGAGCCCAGCCTTGAGAGACCCATCATCTGGGGTCCCAGAACCAGCCCTGGGCCTGGACCACTCTGCTGGGCCAGGTGGCCATCCGATGTCTGGTGCCCACATAGCCTCAATATGGACAGTGACCCCAATGTCCTTTCCCCTAGCCTCTACCAACCCCCAACTGTGGCCTCTCATGGCGTGGCTTTGGCATAGCCTAGGCCAACAGCCCGTCACCGCCTCCACCCCCCACTGCCTCCCAGCTCTGGGCT